TAGATACGAAGGTACATCACAGGCTTAAATGCATGAGAGGATTAACTCCTCAAGCATGTATTTATGTCCACGCATCTATTTATGTAAAGCAGATGTAACAGAAATTGATCGGATCACAGCTCGGAATACATCCGGAAACGGAAAATACATTCACGCGTGTACGATCGCGAATTTCAACTATTTGCGGATAGTCTACGTTCCGCGGCGGGAGATGTGCAATACTCGCAAGTGCTTTATCAATATAATATAACTGTATCGTTCTACAAAAAATATTGCCGATTGTAATCACCGAACGTAGATATCGCTCATGGAATCGACCCGCAAATAACAAGCGCGAACCGAATATGAAAAACAGACGAGGAGTTAATAACCGGGGTTATCGAACGAAACCGAGAAAAAGGCACGGATCACGCGATGCCGCATGATAAAATGGCGATTCGCTCTGGCAAAAGAGAGAGAGAGAGATGTATATTCAATTTGGCAGCGCACACGGTTTCGATGGATAAAATGGCATGTAAAATGCCACACGCGCGAGCTAATGTATCTATTATCCAGCCAAATGCAGTAGTCACTGCTAAATTCGAGTCCATGTTGCACTCTCGCGCGAAAAGGTAATATTTTTTTTCCCCCACCCCGAAACATCCATCTCGTCACATTTTAACTTTTGACTCGCTCGTTAATTAATTTGCTGTTTGCGCTGCACGTTATTATTCCGCGCTGCTCGCAATTTTTTTCATCCGGTTCCACGAGCGAATCTGTTAATAACACCACATCGAGAAACACGGTAACAAAAATGTTATCCTATCAAATGAGAGTTTTCAATCTGCGTGGTAAGTTTGATAGTGCATTGTTCCCATAGTTATAAATACGAACAGTTTTTAGAATTAATTTCGCTTCGGCGATACGCGTTCAAAGGTTTTATCGTATATTCTACTACTACGTAATTACGTATTACATGCAACATGCAAAAACGATCGACATTTGTTTGAAAAAAACTGAGGAATAAAAATGAGAAATGCCACAGGTGAACGGTATTGAAAATGTTGCGGATATATTTATCTGGCTCTTTTTGAAAAAAAACCGCTGCACGTGATATTCTCAACAATGTAACAATGATTGGTAGAATCACAAAATTTTTCAACAAAGTAAAAAAAAAGTTCAAAAAGCAGTATATTTAGGACATAGACCGCCAACGAACGTTTCATTAGGTATAACATCTAATATAAATCATGTTTTATTCAGAAATATACTTTATTTTATTTCATATCAACGTTTCCCAATACGATATTACAATTCATGTAATTAGAACGCTGAGAGTCAATGCACATCCCATAAAATCCACATCAGCCGCAATATTTCTTTAACTTTCTATCTGATGCAATTATTTCTCGCCTGTTAGATCGAAACAAAAGCTCTCGTAGGAGATATCGCTTATTATACCGGCTATACAACAAACGCGTCCCCCGGAAATTGTATATTTCGCTTTAATACACCGAGATCGCGGATATCGGTGTATTAACGCGATAACGCGTAGCTAACTAACGTCGTAAATATTCGAGGGGCATCGCATGTGGAAAGTGAAATCAACGAGACGCGCTGGGTTACGGGTCAACGCTCCTTCACGCGTGCACGGGTAGGAAGATTCCGCCGTGATGTTGCACGTCGCAGGTCGTAGATGTAATGGCGTACAGGAAGAGGTGCATATAATGACACACGGTGTCGCGCACCTGTACAACGCGACGCGACGTGACCTTATCTCGCGGAAAGTGTTGGTCTGACTTTTACACGCGTACACGCACGCCGCGCCGTCGCATTGCGACGCGATTGTGTCAGGCCGGCTTTTGAAGCTGTTCAAGTACGCGCGCGTGCATGACTTCTAACGCGCTCGTTGACTGTGACAGTTTGAAATTAGAAATGTCATTCTACTGTTTGAAGACGAAAGAGGCAATGTCTATCGAATACAAATCGAAAACGGCAGAGATTGAAAGAATAATTAAAAAAGTGTCAAATACACGCCGAGAGAGTAAACTGTTATCAAAACAATTATACGATTTTCAACTTTGCTATAATCCGACAAAGCAGTATCCTCCTTGAAGTATCTCTCTGCAACTGTCATACTCAACGACGTCGGTGAAACCGCGCGTATTACAATATTTACTGACTGCAGCATTGAAAAATCTTTTGTGCATAGCTAAGATCTCTTGTTTACAGATGAATACACGTCCAAGGAACAAGACGCGCGGTTAATGCAACGTGGAGAAACTTACGGGGACCGACACTCGAAAAGTTTTGCCGAGTGCCACGGAGGCATTTAACAACTGCTAAACTTTCCGTCTCAAAAGTTAAAAGTTGCTCTGTCGTCGCAGTCGGCACTTTAAACTGAAATCTTATGCGATTCACGTCATCGCCGTGTGAAATGACACACTTCGGACGTGTCCGCCCACGGTTTTTGACATTATCTCTGCCCGAGCTGCTTTCAATCTCCTCTCCGCGGCTCGATTGTCTTTCATGTCAAAGAAAAAAAAATCTGTACGCCGCACTTCGTTCTTGCAATTGAGCCTAGCGAGGCGCTTCGTTAATTCTTCTACTGAGCAAAGCGGTAGTGAAATTTCGGGATAATGAAACTCGGATGGGGCATCGTGCACTTATCCGGATTGCACTTCCGCTCCGCACACACGCACGTATCTCCGCGTACACGCACGGTGCAAAGAACCGCGCTAAGAAATCTTGGCAAACTCAGCGGAGCGATGGAAATCCTGTTCTGACGTTCCGCAACTGGCGTAATGCGACGGTGTTCCAGCCGGGCTACCACGGGATATCGCAAATCGTTAATATATGCGTCATCCTCGGGACATAATTATACGTTCGCGACGGCAAAACATGAGAAGAGAGAGAGAGAGAGAGAGGGGGGGGAGGGGAAGAGAGAAAGAGAACGCCGCGTTTATATATGCGCCGCATCAAACTTGGGGAACGGGTCAATGGTCTGTGAATCGCCGGCAAGATAGGAGTTCGCAATAGTCGTTTCGTAACGGTTACGTCGCCGCACTGCACTTCATGACACGCCGGGTATACGCCAACCTATCCGACGATCGCGAGAACGGAAACGTTTTTGAGAGTATGTGAGTATCGAAACTGCGGCAGCGACTCGCTACGCAAACTCGCTATGCACGAGCGAGACGATTGTTTCAGGACGATTGTCACTGGATCGAGATGGCTAACGCTGACGCGGGATTATTTGCTTTTGCAATAATGGGCGACAAGGGCAATACAAATAATTGCTTTATAAGCCTCTAGATACTTGTCGTTTGCGTAACGATAATCCTACATCAAAGTAGATGACTCGCAATACAATCGCGGAGAAACAAAAGCTTAAAGTGAAACAAAGCTTTACTCACAAATTATAAATCTTGTAAATTTTTTGATTGAGAAAAATAATTGAGAAAAACTTTGATTTATGATAACACATAAAAATAATTTCATTCAATTTTTTTTGCTTTCAAGTAAGAAGTAAAACGTGTCGTGACATGCCGTCTGATACTGCGATTCAAGTGAAATGATTATTTATTAATGTATCATTATGTGGTATATATACAATGCTGGTAGTAATGCCATACACCATTCCGATATTATGTCTTACATTAGCTACTACGGAATCGCCACTTAGAGTAGTAACGATATCTTTGCTTATCATGTTTCCAGCTATTATAGCCTTAACGCATTACCTTCCACAATTGCCGGTGAAGACACTAAGGGATGTGCAATAGAGATTATCTGCAACGTCCCTAAATTTCTCGAGTGGTATCTCGAGAAATAACTGGAGATGCATAAGAATATACCAGAGTACCTACTTTACAGAGAATAATACAAATAATAATAATAATAACTGTGCAAAATTCGCCGTCTCGAGTCCCATTACCGTAGCTCCTCTAGGCATTACCTGGCAATATCAAAACTCGCGATGGAGTTTTCACGCTGGACTATATACCTCTCTCGATTCGAGTAGACTCCCTCGGAAACGGCAAACGCGATCGTATATTCGCGAATGTAAATGTTTAAGGAGCGCCTCACAGCGTAACAGTAATTTTCGCGCGGATTAGAAATAACGTCCGCAAGGGCGGCGGCAATTACGGATAGAAGCTACCCTTGCAAGGGAGGTGAATTGTATTGTTCTTTTCACTCGACGCGAGTAAGCGACAGGTAACCCGAGCGCGTCGTACAGTAACAAAAGTATTACACAATGGCCGAGCTAATTTCTGCCACCATTTGAAAATTAAACGGCAGAGAAAATATTTATGAGCACTTTACTAAATTAGCTTCGCGCAAAAAAGTGCGTTGTATAAAATGCGTGGTGGATTGGACACACCCACTGTAAGCGTGACGACAAGACGCGACATCCCGTAAAAACCGTATTTATTCGAGTGAACTGCGAGCGTATTAGGCGACGCGTAGGAGATTAATTATCACGAGAGAAGCAAAAATTACGGAATATATTAACCTAATTACGTGCCGAATTTTTTTTTCTTTAAGCGGAAAAATTATTCCTCCCACGATTTTAATATAATCATATAACACGTTACAATCTAAAATATATTAAGAAAATTTTCTCGTAAATGTACTCTCTGGGATACTGATTTTTAACAATTTTTTACATAATATTTAAAATGTGAAAAGGAAGATTAAGATTATTAAAAGCCTCCCCCCCTCTCTCTCTTTCTCTCTCTCTCTCTATCTCTTTCTCATTTTAATATCTTCATAAATATTCCATGTCACACGGAATCGGAAGCATCCGAATTCGCGGATAAATCAAATTAGAGCTGAACATTTCTCTATTTTCGATTGCTCGCAGGAGATTGCCGCTTAAGATAGTTAGCGGCAATTCGCTGTGCTACGAGGTGAACTCGATTTGTACCCCGATATAGTCGATCCGTAACTCTCCGTAATTTCGTGCCCGTCGACAAATACCCGTTGAATTTCGTGGAAACACGTATGTATAAACTCACCTAAAGACGCTCTCGTCGTAAGATAGCAGAATGCGTACTGGTTGACTGATGCTACGTTTCTTTACTTCGTGCGCTGGCTCGATGTGTACGCCGTGAATTATCTGGAAAAAACAAAGGTGGAATTTGAATAGAGTTTGCGTAGAATACCAGGAATACCACGTAGAATACTGCGCAACTTAAGAGCTTTTGTTCGTAATTTGTTAACAAATATATTAATAGTCTAGATAGTAAAATAACGCGAAGCAACTAAAATCACGACAGTGCTCGAGATATTACATTTGCGCCGTTTGCACAAATGGCGAGATATAAGAGTGACCACAATGCTAAATTTGTTACATGTTTCGAATCACATTGGTTTTTATACAGAGTTTTTATACAGGTTTTATACGGAGTTTTTATACAGAGTTATTATCATTTTTATAAGTGACGTATTTGCTGCTATTAAAAAAAAACATTCTGGCATATTGTATCACTGATATGTGGTTATTTTCACAATCGCGTAAATGTTTTTACAATTGACTCTCATACCATTTCAGTTTGTTTTTACAAATTTCTATTATGCTAAAATCGAGTACAATAAACATAATAAAAATATGCAAGGCAAATAGCAAATGTCTGTCTATTTCCGATGCTTTTAAGTTATACAATAATTTTCTACTACGTGGTTACTTATTGTTAGAAGTATTGTATTATATATGTTTTTCTCATATGTTTGTGAAACGTGAAGAACCTGAAGACAATTAGGCTCGCGTAAAATCAGAAAGACACGATATCTTGCAGTGACGAAATTCAGAATTTAGTTTGGGTAGAGAATCATGAATGCTCACGTTAAAGTCTATTCCGCGTGATAATTGATCGTCGAAAGTTGAGCTCGTTACTGACAGATCTTAATAGAAGATGCGCTAACTATATTGAATCGTGCCTGGTATTTTGATACCAGCGGTGCGTGAACCTGATATGCTCTTCGACGATGCTCTAGGTTGCGAATTCTACGGTGCGGCGGCTGCAATCTCGCGCTCGCAGGAATAGCAGCTTGCGGCAAAGGCCGCAGCCGCGCGTTTACAGAGGTTATAAGAGGGAAGAGACAGGTGCATAAACTAGGTATAAGTTCTGGTTAACTTCAACACCGTCGGGCTTCAGTCAGAAGTTGCGAGCGATAGAGCCGTAGAACCGAAAGGAGGTAATGAATAGATGGGTGTGAAGAGAACTTGAACAAAGTGACGCGCGCCGCAACGAATTGCACTGTTCACAACAACAGACGTACGAGAATTCATCGATCAGTGCATTGACATTTCGTTCTAAATATTTATAAGAATAAAATAACAATAAATCGATATATTACGTATAAATCAAATTATTTAACAACACGACACAATTATGACGAGACGAGCTTACGAGGACAGATTTAACCGCGCGGCTTAATATATCGATTAATTCACCACTTTGTAACGAGTTTTCGCCGCAAGAAGGATTTGACTGGCGGATGGGCCCGACACTTCGCTTAATAGAGCCCCGATGTAATCGAGGAAGGTCACCGTTACCTCGTCGCAATGGGCGTGCTTGTTAGAAATGCAATTATGCGAAGATCCACGTTAAGTTTTAATCCGATCCACTTTTATACTTGCGGAGAGTTTGCGTCCTGCGCGGAAAGCTTCTTAGTGATAATGCGATATCTTAAGAGGATAGGAGTGGCATTAACTGCACCAGCCAAGGAGCGCAGAGAGGACCACGAAGACTGGATCGAAGGTCGAAGTTAAGATGCAGCGGCGCTCGAGTATCACGTATATAGAAGATAACGGTAGCTAAACCACGCGCACTCCATCGTAACTTACAAACCACTCTAGCGAATAGTGCTCTCTTAATTATCAAACTTTAGACCGCTCCTAATTTCTATCCTTATACCCATGGTCTATCTAGTAATACGACGGGATGCGCGTGCCAATGTACACCTCTCTAAACCAAGAATTACCTTTAGCATAGATTTTCTAACACTACGTTGAAATATTTAGTTGCTTAATATGTATATTTATTATGTGCATTTAAATCGTTAAACTAAAAATTTGACATAGTAATTAATTTCAGTTTTAAACAATGTCACATACAGTTTCGTAAAATTAAATTAGTTAAATTAGATATTAATTGTTTACGTAAATTTTAATTAAGTTAATGCTCATTAAATTAAATTCTGAATTTATAATAGGGCTGTTCTTTGTAGCTGAACTAGTGTACACTCCCGTTGTATTTAAAATGTAATAGATACACACTTGGTGAAAACGAGAAAGAAAATTTTAATTCAGTCAAATGCAGCGACGAAGAATAGGTCTAATGTTTGCAGAAATTTTAAAAAAAGTACGTAATTGTACATATATTAATAATAATAATGTTTAGATAATTATTAATAATGATCAGCGAAATATTAATTGCGCGATCCTGTTACATACGCTGTGTTGAAGAACAATACAATAAACGTATTTAGTATAATGGCATTACCATCAATCCAATTATCTGCGGACTAATGGAAAGGAAATGCCAAGATTAAGCAAGTGGACAGTTCAGGTAGCTAGCGCGGTGGAAAACAAGAAGATAGAGGTCTACAAATATCCCGCAGAGAAATTCCATAAGCCTCATCCATCTTGGTTATTGACCTTAATTCAAGACCAGCCAGTCGGCATTAAGATGATTTCCACAGAGAATCGATATTTTCCAGCGCTACGTTCACTGGCCATAAGGATAGTAATGATGGAAGCGATACTGGCAAGCTGCATGAAGCAATATTATTGAAGTGGTTACAGTACAATAGTCTGAGAAATATCATTCCTAAAATAACTAGAGAATAACTAAGAATAGTATTGCTATCGAAATATTATTAAAATTATCGAAATAAAATTAAAAGAGAAAAAGAGAAAGAGAGAATACGTATGAATAAATACGCATGCCAGATGCGTAATAATGAACGTAGATTAAGGTCATATTCTTTTTTTAATTATATTTCCACATATTCATAAAAAAATTAAAGAAATGTTTTTTTAAGATCGTCTATTCCCTATTTATTTTATCTTTTTTAAAGTTCTAATTAATGATATACCTATTAATCAAGAATAGAAACATTAAAAGAATTGATCGTTTCTACAATTTATTTCAAAGGAAAAAAGTTAGCTATTTCAGAGAAAACAGAACTACCATGTTTATACATTCGTGATTTCTATAAACGACTTCAAGCAGTCACGTTTCATTATTCACATTTCAAGAATTAAATTATCTGTGAGCAGGCAAAAGCACGAAATATACAATGAAAATGTGTAGCAATAACAGCGTATCTCCTGTTTTCATTAGACAATATAAATGTACAATTGTATATAAATGTATATAATATAAATGTATAATTGTTGTATGATATGCCATTTTAATAACAATTGTTAATTAAAAAAGTATGTATTTTGCGAAAATGAAAGATAAAATATATCCAATACGCGTTTACATAGCCGTATCTCCTTCTCTCGGATGAGAAAGTGCACCTCGATGCACTTCGATTTATCATATATCTACGCGTCGAAATAGGGACCGGGGGATGAAGAGATCGTGGAAACCGGGCAGGTGGGCAATTTCCGTGGTAGCCGTCTACCGTGATATACCCGTCTCTTTCCGGCCGTACCGCATTTACACGCGGCGCGATGGAAATTTTGTGTTTCCTACATGTCCCTGCATTTTTGTAGCATTTATATGCTCGTTTCTGCCACCCACGAGATGGAAACGTAAATAACCGACCATCGATTGCTCATCCTCCGCCTTGAGGTTTCATTCTGACACACCTCATCAATCGGCGAAAAGATGAATTGTTGATTATTACCATCCACGAATATATTGAACCGCGGTCGGATCGTCTATTTTCAAACGCCGTTCCATTTAGACACATTTGCATGATGCATAATTTAGCCTCGTATCCATTCCACGTTCAATTTTTAAAGCTTCAGTCTATCTAAAATTTAATTTTTCACGTTCGGTAGCACATGTGCGCGCACGCAATGCGTTATGCCTGTGTAAGAGCACAACGAAAAATAACAAAAAGCGTCTAAAAAAAAATCGATTAAACAAATTCGTAATATGTAAAATAAATCCAATATCGTGCTAATGTAAGATTAACGGTTTTTTAACAAAATATCCAATAGAATTTTCGTGATTTCCAATATTTTGAACAACTTTAAATACCTATATTTGCTTGAAAAGTCATGGTGGCGGATTTAAGTTGTGGGCCACGTGAATCTGCCTCTGGCGAGTTTTCAAAACGATCTGTTTCCGAAATCCGGCGTAACGTTACCCTATTTCTCGGAGTAGTGTGAGTCGCTCGGTCGCCCATTCAACCGGGCGAGGTTGGGGAAGAGATTGATCTACGGCGGAAGTTGCGCGCGTGAATTTGAGGACATTATCTGATCGCATGGAGAAAGTAATTTATGGGAGTAGTTTAGCCGTGCGCGATAAAACAAATTCCACGCGGAAGAATGAACCGAAGAGAACGCGATCAAATTCTCGAGATTCCTGGAATCCTTTATTCCGAGTCCTATACGTTTTAATAGCTTTAATTAACCGGATGTAGTCTTCAAGCAACGATTGATCGCATTGTTATAAGAGGGTCATGCCTAATTAAATTCTTTGCCATTTCAGCAGTATAATTGCGCAATATTTCAGCAATACAGACAATTACAGAATAACAAAGCTGTACAGTTTCTGTGAAACTGACGCAGGGCATGTTTAGAATTTGAATATAACTTTAATTAAATTCTGTTTATTTCCCAAAAAAATATTAAAATCTCTGACACGTTTCAAAAGAAATTTTAGCGATTAAATATTTAAGAGATAAACATTTAGAGTAAATATAGAGTTAAATAACTGTACATGTTTTTATTTTATAAAAATTGCTCGTTTCAATCAGAATATATATGAAACGTAATACTTTTTGAGGGAACTCTAGAACCCTTATAAAATATCAGATTTAAAAAATTTTTAATTTTATAGAAATTTAACAGATTAAAGATTTTTTAAAAATGAATAAAATAATTAAAAATACAAGTTGAATGTTACAAATAATAAAGACATGGAATCAACG